TTCCATAGTTTTGTCGCTATTACTGTAAAGTAAAATAAACGCTGGTTGACCTATTGGCGTGAATCCCGACCGCCAAGCGAGCATCACTGAGCGAATTTTATCTTTGATAGCTCTTGTCACTCGACAAGTTAGTGGAGTGAGGGTTCTCGACGGCAGTATGAACAGCTAGCAATCGACTATTAATAAATGTATCTCTTTTATTGACACGTTATTTATATCTATTGTTCATTGTTTAAGCGAGAAAATAGTCGCTAGTTAATCGCTTTATCGTGCATAGCCATGCTGCAGGTATTTACTGGTATAGTTTTAGCACGAATGGGTCGTCTTGACCGGGGAAGGACCACACTCTCACAGAATACAGAGTAAAATAGCAGCCTAACGCTGCTGTGTTTCGTATGGTGAGTGTAGAGAACCGGAGACCCTTTTTACTGGAAACGAGGCATTCCATCGTAGTCCTTACGGGTGACAATGCATTAGAATTTTGATTCGTAATCGAGGATAGATGTAGATGTCTTTGGGCCGCCGTAACCACTTACCATCAGGTGGGCTGCTCGTTTGTCACCATTATCCTATAAAAAGGTGGGTCAAATGCCTTATAGTGCTTACATCAAGATTACCGTTAAGTTAACATTTCATGTTACGAATTGATGTGCAGTGAAGAAAAAAACATATTTGCTTCGAATTTTCTTAAAAGTGAAATTACAATCGAAGTGTTATTTATGCAACTATGTTCTAACTCTAATGCAATATGATAATTTGTTCATATTCATAGCTCTATCATTTTTATTTTTTTTACCAAGACTTAAGCCGCAGACGATGATGAAGAAGATAATACGTGATGGAGCCATGTTGCAGCTATATTATTGTTATAGCACGAATGGATTATCTCAATCCAGAAGGGACAACGCTCATAGAATACCTACTAGTGTAAAAAAACAGCTTTATGCTGCTGCTTCCCGTAAGGTGAATGTGGAGAATCGGAGACTCTTTTTATTGATACAATGCATTTGCATTTTGATTCTTAATTGAGGATAGTTGTAGATATCTATTGGTCACTATATTCAATAACCATCAGGTGGACTGTATGCTTGATGTTCACACTTATTATACTTACCGATTTGTAATGATAAAAACTTCTAAATACTGTTAAAAAGGAAGCGCAGAAACGTATCTTAATGTCACTTTCACTTTTCCTTATCCTTTTTAGTAACAATACTTGCTTGGAATTCACCACGTGCTCGGCATTGAAAGAAAATATCGTGAGGGAGCTACCATGGCTGAGAAATTAAATATATTTCAAGGTCATGTAAAGTCCGTTATCATAAACGTAGTAATGCACTAATGACAGAATTTCTGTCACGGCTTTCAGTCTCACCAGGGGCTGGCCATCTACGCAGAATACAGGATTATAGTACAGTCGTGTGTGCGCATGCACTGAAGCACCCTTTGAAATTACTAATTAGGGAGCCGCAGCGGTTTTTTCCCATCTCCAAAACTCTCTTAAAAATGAGAAACTAATAATTGTGCTCTCGTTTAAGATAGAGTTTGAGCGAATTCCGATTTCGAATATACAGAATTTTATTTGCAGTCTCTTCACTTAACCGTTAGGTTTTGTCGTTTCCTCCATATCTGCGAGACTATAAATACATACACGCGCGTTTCTGACGTTTTGTCGATAGGTAGAACCCAAAAAAGTATATTTCTATTTTTACATCAAATTAACCTGCAACACAATAGTCAGGTACTCTATTCAGTAGATTACGGTATTGTTTTAATATATGACAGTTAATTTAATTACTATAGCAATAAATGTACATCGTTTTTAAGCTTTAGTTAAGCTAATCGTTGTTTATTCAGAGATAAACATATTATAAAAACCACTTTTATCAAAATTAATGTTAAAAGAAACATTATAGTCTATAGATATGAGCGTAAAACTAACAGATGCGTAAAGCTTGTTTCTCCATTTAACGTGGTAATGTAAAATATTCGATAAAGTTGCTCCTAGCGTGATCGTCCCATATTCTATCAACTGTGGTAACGTGTTTATTGAATGTGTTTATAGGTTATTTTATCTTCTCTATGTTACTGTCTACGATAATTTATAGTTTTTCTGGAATTTATAGCAATATGAATACCTATTGCTTTTTGCCCTATCCTATAGACACAGGTTTTTCAATGTTATTCAGTATTAGAACGACACTACATTTGAAGGTTTCATAGTATTTTTATACGTGGTAGAGCCACGGTGCAGCTATATTATGGTTGTAGCACGACTGGGTCGGTTTGACCGGGGAAGGACCACGCTCTCACAGAATATCAGCGTAAAATAGCAGCTTAATACTGCTTTGTTTATTATGGTGAATGTAGAGGTCTGGAGACCCTTTTTACTGGAAACGAGGCAATTCATCTTAGTCCTCAGGAGTGACAACGCATCTACGTTTTAATTTTTAAGAGGATAAATGTCTAAACTCTAAAAAAAACACAGTCGACCTGATGGTAAGTGGGTGTGTAGTTTCAAATACATCCTTCGAGCTAAATGGCTGGCCCATTGCCACTTTGGCTTACTGATCCGTTGTGATATATTGGAGCAAGCTTGTGCTTCCTTATATGACGTTAAAGGTCTACACTCTTATTTTTATTTACACATTTTGAGATAAACGGGACAAGAATGTGTGACGTAATTCCCGTATACTGCCAAACTCAGTTTCACAATTTGTCTTAGGTAAATATAGTCGTTAAAAACTGCGAGCGGAGTCTTTCCACCAACTACTAGCTTTGGTGTGACGTGGATGTTACTGATAACTTAGTATATGTGGTATATTTTGTGCCAGATACTTATTGAAATATTATGCTATGAGAACTATAATAATCAACGCCGATTGAAATAGAAACGAAGCTTATATGCGTGATAGTATTTCTGTATGAACTTTTTGTAGCCAATTGAATAGTATTTAATAAATATTGAATAGTAAGATATTTCAGACTAAAAGGGTCGTGGTAGCTCAGAGGCTAAGTGTTAGATGTAACTTTCACAGTCAGCGAGCAATCCGGGTTTGATCTCCGCCGGCGCAAACAAAATTGTTAATGCAATTTAAGTTCCTGATTTCGTTAAAAGTTATTTTGATAAACTATTTAATTTATATGTAGTGGGATGAATGCTTTTGATAAACTATTTACATTATATAAAGTGGGATGAATAAATTAATAAATATAATCTTGTTGTTTGATTAAAATATTATTTCTATATCTTTCTTATTTAATAACGACAAGCGATCCGCCACGGCTGCGCATGGGTGATTTCTGGATCTCGGCACAGCGTCACCTACCACCTTTAATTGTGAATCTAAACCATCTAGAGACCCACGCAAATACCAACAAAAAAAAATTAAAAAAATTAACTAACGGACAGCAATTGGTTTTTATATATAGAGATATTTTTTTTAATTTTGTATCAAATAAACAATCTTTAAATAATACCCGACTACACGTTGCTGTGACTCAAAATTTTTTCAAAAACAACGATATGTTAAAACATGCGCGTATTTGATTTCAATGTTGTTTCTAATTTTTTAAGCAATCGGTGAGGAACTTTACCTATAGGACAGGGCAGGACAACGTCTGCCGAGTCAACTTGTGTAAATGTAATCTCACAAAAGATTTTTTTTTATAGAATTAGAGCGAATATTAAGCACAGAGTCCACTAGATTATAAGTGGATACTTTCATATATTCTTCATAACTCCTCGATTAAGAATTACAATGCAGGCACTTGTCACCACTGAGGACTAATTTGATTACCTCGTTTGCAGTACTGAGGGTCTCCGGTTCGCTACACTCACTTTACGAAACGATGGTATTCTGTGAGGGAGTGGGCTCTACCACGCATAACAAATAATTATAGAATTTGAAATTGGAAATAAAAAAGAAAGCATTTTTTAAAGAGTAACGTTATTTATGGCCAGACTAGTTATAACTGTCGTATATGTTTTTAAAAAAGGACGTGAATTTATCTGATTCAAAGTGAATATCGAAAAAGAAATAATAGAATCATTTAACAAATAAGTTTCATGTTACTAATTGTATTCAACTGCAATTTTACTCGCATTGTTTACAATTTGTATTAATTATTTATTGTCAGATATTGAACATTTCCTGATTCATGTTCGTTCGTTTCTACTATTTCCGTTTATCATGATGGTACAACATTGCAATATTCTAGACTATATTTTTATTATGTTGATTAAAATATAACCATTTGTACAGTGTCACAATAAATATACATACTACAGACGTTCAGACGGCTTAGGTAGGTATCAAGGTAGGTCACCATTTTTTTTTAATTCTTTTATTTTATTCTGTCTTGATCTTTTCTTGTCAACTATACCACTCATTTATGCAGAATGATTTTGCTTTGTAGCTCTTTCCCTAAACAATACCTAGTTTTATTTTCTTACACATAATTTAAAATTATTATAAAAATTTCGCTGCTACATAAATCATCATCTCAATTCATTGACTGTTTACTCCATAATTTATTTTGAATTGTGCAGTATAATATTCAATTGTATATTAAACATAAAACAACGTTGTTATAAAACAGCTTTATTCATCTATATAACTTATATACCTTTGAAAGTTAAATTGATAATTTTTTTAAATATAAGTAGCAGCATAATTTGAAATAATGTTACAGATACATTAATATAATATCATAGATAAAAATAAATTTTTCTTATTTAGCCTATTCATTGCAGGCGAATAAAACTTTTTTATCTAACAGTACCCAACTGCATAAATGCATCGATGCATCCCTCTCGACAACATCCATTGTACCGTGAAACTAAAAGCATATAAACGCAAAGACTGTTCTAGTTTTAAACAGAGTGCCAATTGAGCCAACGAAGTGCGAACGAAGACAAAATGGTACTACATTACCTCCTCATCCTTACGTTGGCAGCTGCCGTTAACGGAAGAACGGCTTCAACCAACCAAAACAAATTGGATGAAGCTAGGAGTTCAGAAGACACAATTCTAGGTGACCTTAAAGTCGCATATGAAACATACAAAGACTGCAGCAATAACGATATTGGCAACTGTCTGAAGTTAAAATTAGCGAAAGCTCTCACCAAAGTTTCGAAGAGTGACGAGATTGTGCTCCTGAACGGAGTGACCATTTCAAAGGATAAAAACGCAGTCGAAAATGTGGAAGTTGAGGAGGCGGTTCCAAGAAGTCTTGACGAGAACTCACTGGACAACCTTATTTTGGACAAAATCATGGGATTCATGCAAACTCATACGATCCAGGTAAATTGCTTGTTTTCTTCTTCAATCTTATTTTTGTTGACCCTTTTAGATTCTGAAAAGTTAGTGCCAATTAACTTGTTATAGTGAGTTCTTTCTAATTCATTTAGTACTAAGATGGTGAAATGACTGTAATGTCAATGTTAAATGCCATTACAGTCATTTCATTGTTAATTGTGTGAGATTTTGTTTCGCTTTTATTAGGGATCAAATAAAGTGTTTATAAATTATTGCTATTTAGGAATTTCTTTAACAAACAAAACCCGATATACCTAGCTCTCCTTATTGAATATTCAATACTGAGGGTAAGGGTAAGGCTAATTATAGAATTACATCATTCTGTCTTCCTTTCAAATCAAATTTTGCAAAGTATAAAAATATCAGAATTTTCGGGTCTAGTTATTCGAGTAACTATGTCTGTTAAATTATAATATCATAATGACTAAGAAAGTGGTAGATAACAACACAATAGTAACCAACATAATACAATAATAAAATAAATCGAATAATTACTGCTGGAAAAAAAATATTATGAGATTTATTTTAAAGTGGTTAACACTAATAATATTATGATTCAATGTCAATAATTTATTAATTAAAATAATTTAATAGTGCGTATCACACCGTGAGGGTCGTAAGAATCACCTCTTACAAAAATTTCAAAAAGAAATTTAACGGGAGATGAATAGCAGCGTTTTTTTTATAGAATAAAGTGACACACGGGCACACATTTCACATGATAGTAAGAAGATGCTGTGGCCCATAGACATCTAAATCTATCCTCGATTAAGAATCAAAATGCAGATGCGTTTTACCCCAGAGGACTAAGATGAAATGCCTCGTTTCCAATAAAAAGTGTCTCCGGTTCTTTATACTCACATTACGAAACACAGCAGCCTTGGGCTGCTATTTTACGCTGGTATTATGTGAGAGCGTCCGGAAGTCTCCAGTCGAGCCGACCCATTCATGCTACGTACATAATATAGTTACAGCATGCCAGCACTACTATAAAAATCTTTTATCTTATGCAAAGGCAAAATTTTTATAATTTTAATTACAATATATCCTTACAAAAATATTTTATGATGTAGCTCGCTCTTTAAGATGCAGGTTTATGTACTGAAATTTGGGACCTGTGTATATTTAAAACTTAGCTGGAGCTTAAACGCGATATTATCGATGTAGGGTCACTTCTATTGGTATTTATATTTGTTAATTAGCTTGGCCGTGTCATAATTGTTGCCAAGTTCTTTAAGTCCTTTTATAGGGCCTTAGCCTGCATTTTCATGAGTTGAGACAAGTTAGTGCTCTTACGTTTGCGTGCATAATACGAGTATATACATACTTATGGCAATTTCTGAGCAGTTAATAAATTCTAGCATTTAGAAATCGTCTTTTCATATATTCTTATGTGAAAAGCTTTCATTATGTCAATTTTTTGGAGACAATCATTATTAAAATAAATGTCACTCTACTGTATCTATCATTGTAAACTTACGAGTATACTCAAGTTCATTACTATGATGTAACGCTCATAACAATGATATAACAATAACTAGGTTAATGTTGGGTTACTCGACATGGGTACAATGGAATGGATAATGGTAATCATTATTCATGACGTACTACTGACGGTAAAATATTTCTCTTGTACTAAGTTGGTAATAGGATTCTAGTGTTTTTATAAATTAGGATGATACACTTTGTTTAAAATCACTTTTCTACATGGTAGAGCCACGCTGCGGCTATAAGCAGTATAGTTGCAGCACGAATGGGTCGGCTTGACCGGGGAAGGACCACACTTGCACATAGCACCACCGTGAAATAGCAGCTCAACGCTGCTGTGTTTCGTATGGTGAGTGCAGAGAACTGGAGACCCTTTTTCCTGGAATCGAGGCATTCTATCTTAGTTGTCACGGGTGACAACGCATCTGCATTTTAATTTGTAATCGAGGATAGATGAGATGCCGCATAGAAAAATCACGTATTCTAATAATTTATCAAGTCAGTTATTAGAAAGGGGACTCCTATATTTTTTGTGAAGTAAAGTCACGTTGCAGCTCTATGGTATATATAGGAAGTAGATTCTGGAATGCCAACACAACGCACTGCTGCGGAAAGATACGTATTCTTTGATGTAGCATTTACAAATTTGATTCTGAATTATTTCAGTATTATTGAATTACATTAATATTTAATATAATATTATAACCCTTTCTATAATGATACTGATTACACTGAAAAAATATAAATTATATAGAACCATAAATAGCACTTGAACATCTTTACCTATAATACAGTAATGTAATAAGATAAGTATAAGTATACAGTAAAGTAATGATGATGAAAACTAATTACACTATTACATTCTCAACATATCTTAAGAGACAGTTTGAGAAATCTCAGGCGGTGGTCTCCTATAAACGCCATCGGCCGCTTACAGCGTCACGCCGTACGCCGCGTTACGATGCTTACTATAGAAATGTACTGTTGTGGTCTCTATCACAAGCTGATGTCGGCGTATGGACGTCGTAGGCGGCGTTAAGACGCTTTGCGCTGCGTCTCTAGTTATTTCGAACCATTGCAGCGTAAAGGTCGTGTCTAGCGTCAGTACAAAATGACAAAATTTTATAAAGAAAAAGACGAGTTATTGATTTATTATTATGTTTAAATTGTTCTTGATTAATACGAAAATATTCAGTAAATTTAGAATTGCTGTTTTTTTAAGTGTTTCATTATATAATAGCTGGAAACATCCTTCTTCATTTCTCTTCATAAATAATCGGTGCCTTGTTGCCTTTATTTTTCTTCGTATACGTCGTCTTGTGTCTCTTCTTCAAGTAACACAAGCACCGCGAAGAGTATTGAATTTATATCCATTTTATATACAAATATCACACACAACCACACGTGGGCACTGTCAGCTACTTAACTGTTGTTTGATCGAAAGTCTAGACGTCGTCTATTGCTAAGACATGTATTGACCGCTGCCGCTGTGTCTGGCGTTCAGACGCCGATCGGAACGTTTACGCTGAAGTCGGACGTCGCGTATAACATTTAATAGGAGACCGTAGCCTCAGAGGGATCTCGTCACTGAACAGACGACTATAACCAAGATGTACATTACATGTACATTTTTCGTATAATGCTAGATGTAGGTTATATTTTATTTGATGGATAACTTTTATCTCACTATTGAAAAATCAGTTTAATTATGTACCAGGATTTTATAATATACATCGATCTGTACTAGTGAGAGACCTCTTAACGGCTTTAGAAATTAATGTCATAAATATGTAAAGACTAAATGTAATAATCTAATGTTAGTATAATTATCCATTTCATCATCTGCAAGACAGAACTTTTCACTTCTCCTTCCAGGCCAAATAAAATTTTTGGTTGCAAAAAATATCTATTCTCTTATGTTACGCAAAACTGTTTCTTCATATATGCACTCTCTGGTAAATAAGCAAATGTTTCAAATAAATTACTGGAAAGGACTCATCGAGGGCTCCCTTTTGTAGTGCCCATATTATGTTCCAATTTGAAGAGTAAGAAAGTCAGTGAAATTACGGGCTGCAAGGGCATTTTATCTTAGGGTCATAGCCCACTTACACGACTCTGCTCCAACACCGCTCCTACTCAATACCGGCCTGAACTAAGGCGACAGCTAGCTGGCACCCAGTAGTCCACGCGGCAACAGCTAGCATGCACCCAGCTGTCTACGCGGCGACAGCTAGCAGGCACCCAGCTGTCCACGCGCCGACCGCTTTTTCGCGATAGACACAGTTCGTGGTCAGTTTCCATTGAAACAACGTTGTCAGCGAGCTGTCTGCTAATTTATGTTGCCAATGTAAAATATATCTAAAGCGCCATACTTAAAGCCCATATTTGAATTATATTATTTTTGCCTGTAGTCTTCTAGACCCTTAGTCTTCAGTCTGTGACCTTCTATAAAGGTTTCGTCAGGTGTACAAGGGCATGGTAGGGACAGAATATTTTGATTGATTTGGTAAACAGTCTAGACAAACAACCGTGCAATCCGTATTTTGCTTATAGAGACTGATGAGTCAGGAAATAAATAGGAACGGGAAGGTGTAACGGGCTAGCAGAATAAAAGCCTATGGCACTGATATTTTTCGTGTTTTATTTTACAGTAACGTATTATGAAATTGATCTATCAATAAATACTGCTAATTCTGTACGTATTACTTTAATTTCGACAATTTCTAATTGATTTATTTATTAAGTTCAAAATTGTTGTTGTTATTCATTATGTACCGAAAGTTTATTTCAAATTAGTAGTATTTATTGATAGACCAATTTCATAAGTTACTGTAATATAAATATAAATGTAAAATATCAGTGCCATAGGCTTCTACTTCGTTCACCTGTTACACCACGGTTCCAGACGGTAAAAAACCAACTAATTAACTAATTTGGTAACTTGGTAAGTTAAAAATGTTTGTGTTGTTAGGACTGGTTCATGACAGTAGTTGAATAGCTGATTCGAACCAATGACCCTTGAGTTCGCGATCTGCACCCTACATTTAAGCTACTATCGCTCAATAATATCATTTCTGCAATAGTTACATGCTGCTCGGATTAGGTTATCTAAGCACTGGATGTCTATTTTTCGAGTGTTAGTGTATTATATTTTATAAGCGTATGTACTGTATAGTGCCTTGTAAGAATATCCGTAATATTCCTACATAACCACGTTATGTGTCGTAAAAGGCGACAGAGGGAAACGAGGTGATGGATAGCAATGTCTTCGTAATAACTACAACAAAATAAAAAAAAAAAATGGTTGCCAACACAGTGAACAAGCGTGGCAACTATGGCAAATAAGAGACAAACTATAGGGAGCTTATTTATAAGATAGGATGACAAACGAGCACACAGTCCACCTGATGGTAAGTGGTTGCTGTGGCCCATAGATATCTACATCTATCCTCGATAACGAATCAAAATGCAGATGCGACGTCACCCGTAAGGACTAA